GATCACTTGATTAGTAGTTGTGGTGGGGGTGGTCGTCGTCGTCTTAGTCGTAGTGGTCGTAGTAGTAGTAATAGTAGTAGTAGTAAGGGTAGTAGTAGTAGTAGTAGTAGTAGTGGTGGTAGTAGTAGTAGTAGTAGCAGTAGTGGAGTAGTAGTAGTAGTAGTAGTAGTAGTAGTAGTAGTAGTAGTAGTAGTAGTAGTAGTAGTAGCAGTAGTAGTAGTAGTAGTAGTAGTAGTAGTAGTAGTAGTAGTAGTAGTAGTAGTATCTTTTTTTTTTTTAACGCCACACTCAGTAATATTCCAGGCATGTGTCGAGTAGTAGTAGTAGTAGTAGTAGTAGATGTAGTAGTAGTAGTAGATGTAGTAGTAGTGGTAGTAGTAGTAGAAGTGGTAGTAGTAGTAGTAGTGGTAGTAGTAGTAGTAGTAGTAGTAGTAGTGGTAGTAGTAGTAGATGTAGTAGTAGTAGTAGTAGATGTAGTAGTAGACGTAGTAGACGTAGTAGACATAGTAGCAGACATAGTAGTAGAAGGAGCGGCAGCAGGAGTATGATACCAGACAAGATTAATTCTTTCACAAAAAGCAACATACGCATACTTCTGTTGCGGAAATGTTTTGTTCGTGTTTAAAGTAATCGTGTTTTTCATACGCGAGTCTGGAATCTTTCTATAGGAGCACGAGCCGCCTTACGGCTTGTTCCGGAATGACCCGAGTCAGTCACGTACCATAAACTTGCCATGCAATCAACTGTTGTGATTCTGGGATGTTTTTGCAACATTCTAGGAATGACAATATGGGCAAACACCCAAAATGTTCAACTGAGAGTGTCTGTGTAGGGAGTCGAACCCGGATATTACGCTGCTTACAACGTCATACCAACTGTATCAGTTGGTCCTTGGTCGATATTGGAGGAAACCCTGAACTAAGGCACGGGTTTGGTGCTAAGAAAACCCACAGACACAATTAGTGAGTGAGTGAGTTTAGTTTTACGTCGCTTTTAGCAATAGTCCAGCAATATTACGGCGGGGGGGGGGACACCAGAAATATGATTACAGCGAGGCTCTGTTTCGAACCCCCGACAGTCTGTTTCTGGCACCCTCATTCAACAAACACTTCATCTCACTCCAATACATGTATTTAACAAAACAACGTGGGGAGTCTCATTATAATATTATTTATCTGTGCTGATTCTATTGGTTTGTTTGTCGTTTATACAAACCTCAGTAAAGAGGTGACAGGGTACTCTGTAATCACAGAATCATTGTATGTTGAAAAAGGCGAGACGCCATCTTCTTTCAGTAAAAAGATTTTAAAAAATCTATTCATGAAAAAAAGTGAAAACAGTACTTTATGTCTGCGAACAGTTTAATTAAGTTTACATTGTTTCCAAAAACGCTCTCTTGGCTGGAACCCGTCTATGTAAGCAAAGCAATAATTGTTTCAATGGAATTCGTGACTCACGAGAGTCACGGGGTGTTCGTTCAGGTCTCGGGTGATGTTATCACGAGCTGCACGAGACTTCGCAATATCTCCTGGCACTTTGTTTAATGAAATGTACATCTCCTTCGCCCGAGGGACGTCTCTCACGGACCGCCTGGTCCTCGATATAGCACGTCTGTTTTACTTCCAGCAGCACCAGACTTTGATCTCTGTATCTCACATCTTGTGAGCACAGGCCCTCGTGTCTTTGCGAGGATTAAAGATTTTATAAAATATATACAAAAATTTGAGATGACCCCCGACTCGAAATGCTTCACAGTATAATACATTATGACAAGGCCGGACACTTCGGTGCACCCAACCCGACTGCTTTGCCGATCGCTACACTACCATCGCATACAATCGATTAAAACTAAATGTACACATAATCATGGATGATTGGCCTATCGAGCACCACTCATGACACCTACCAATTCTTTATTGTTATTTCTGCAAGTCGATTGAAACCCGATTTTGACTCTCAACTAAACGATCTTGACACAAATGGCTGACGATATATCCGCACAAAACGAGGGTGTGGTCGAAGCAAGCATGTTGGAGCTGATTATTTATTGGCCCAGAGACTTGCAGATTTTCAAAGTTCAAAATAAAGCTATTAGGCCATTTTTTTGTGAAATTTGTTAATCCTGTTGTTTTTGGTAGCTATGTATTTTTCGACAAATACAATATTCTGTATTATTTTCAGAAATCCTGACATTTGCAACCGTCTGTTGTTTATACTTGAGACATATATGAATCGTTTCCCAGCGAGAATAATGTTGTTAATAAAATCATAGCCAGTGTTAAGTCCCAACGGGATTGTGAAATCTGAGAGTACAATGTCAATGCTAAAAGTGTTTTTAATAAAAATCCTTAGTTCACTCCAGAACATCTGTACATGTTAACACGATACAAAACATGGATAATATCTTCTGGTTCTGATTTGCAAAATGTACAAATATTTTTGTCAATCAATTTCACCTTCAACAATACCTTTTTAGTATATACAATCTTGTGGATGAATCTAAATTGGAAATCCAATAATTTAACATCCCGAGTACACTTTCTATAGTTTGTAAAAACAATACTCCAAGGCAATGTACTCTGAGTCATACTTTCCCACTTGTTACACACATCAGGTAGCTCGTTTTAATCAATTTGTCATAGAACCTTCTACAACCTTTTGAAGGTATAATAAGTTCATACACTATGTCATTAATACCCAGATTTTGAGTCTCATTAATAGAATTATTGACAGTATGTCTCCATGAGACAGGGATATTTTTCAAAAGTTTATTGTAGTCTAGAAATGTTCCTCTAACTAGATATCTGTTCTTGAACTCATTAAAAGAGAGTAGACCGGCAGATGTACAGAGGTCTTTAACTTCAGTGATTCCATACTCAAACCAACTTTTAAGAAAAAAGGATGAATCAACAAACTGGTGATTAAACCAGAGGGGCTCAGAGAGTATTTTAGACAGATCATTCTCATCAGTTATGAATAGACTTCTGTATCTCTTCCATGATAGAAGAGCATCTTTCCAATATGGGTTGTCCACAGTGCAGAACTGATCAATGTTTGAGCCCATCTGAGCAAGTTGACGAATAGGAACATTGCAAGGTTTATTAGCGTCATTGTTAAAATACCTCTTAATAGTGGCTAGTTTCAATGCAGCAATAAAAGATTTTAAATCAATCATCCTATTTCCTCCTTCCCTGTAATTCTTTTTCATATTCCTCCTCTTACTCTTATCAGGTTTACCACTCCAGATAAAAATGAAAAACATTTTCTCAATATCCTCCATGAAACATTTAGAAGGATTAGGGAGTGATGTAAATATGTGTACTAAAGTAGATACAGCCAAGGTTTTAATTACAGTTATCTTCCCATTAATAGTCAACTTCCTTTTTCGCCAATTCCCAAGAACGTTTGATATAAATTTTAACCTTTTCCTGGTGTTGATAACCCATAGGTCATTCAAATCAGCATTTAAAACAATACCCAAAACCTCAAAGTTCCCTAAGTTCCAGCCCAGGCCATATTCAATACATATTATATATTTACTGTTAGCCATAGCTCCAATCCACAGGGCTTTTGTCTTGTCTATATTTAGTTTTAGTCCTGACATGCGATAGAAGAAAGAGTAACTATAGCAGACTTTAGGCTGACATCAGAGCCATCCAGAAAGAGCTGGGTGTTGTCAGCATATTGACCTAGCTTATATTCCTTGCTATTCAAGACAATACCCTTAATACTTACATTTGCACGAATCATGATACCTAGGATCTCTGCTACAAACAAAAATAGATATGGCGAGATGGGGTCCCCCTGCCTACAGCCTCTATTATTAGGAAAGAATTCGGATAGATGGCCTTTTTGGATAATGCAGGAGGTAGCATTTTTCGTTAGTATAGATATCCATTTCAGCATGTATGGACCAAAGCCAAACTTTTGTAAAACCTTGCTAACAAATGTTTTTGAAACTGTCAAATGCTTTTTCAAAATCAGTTAATAGTAAAAGGCCATTCTTATTTTGTTTTCTAGTTTCAAACATGATATCATATAACAGTCATATTTTCACTGATACATCTACCAGGGATGAAGCCTGTTTGATTTTCATGTATCAGATGGTCAAGTGTAACTTTCAGTCTATTAGTGATACATGTACTTATAATCTTATAAATGGCATTTAACAAAGATATAGGGCGCCAGTTCTTCAAATATCTCTATCCTTTCCTTGTTTAGGTATGCAAGTTAGGACACCCTTATTCATAGTCAAGGTCAAGTGATCATTTTGAAAAGATTGATGTATATATCGAAGAATCCACTTTCCCAAATCCAGCCAAATTTTTTTTGAAGAACTCGATTGAATAGCCGTCAATGCCTGGACTCCACAATGCTGCAAATCTTGAATATGCAACCAGCTCAACAAGGGTATGTGACATAGGAAATTAAATGTGTCAATACAGAAATGTAAAAGTAATATATTCTGATTAAGAAAAGCCAAAATTAAATGAATCAATTAGGAATAAGGATATCAAAAAGTATACACAAATGTATAATGTAATGAAGTAACAGTTAACATTGTAACAAATATCAATATTCATTATTTTAATTTCAATATTGATTTGGGATGGGATTGGGTGGTTAGTGTGTACAGCTACGGATCAAGAGGTATGTGGATCAAATCCTGATTATAGTTGCATCGTACATAATGCCACATCTCTAATTATAAAATTAAAAGAATTCATAGCTCCTTTTTCACTTTGTTTGATAGTTTCAAAATTATTCTGATATTCAAAAGCATGTAAAACAATAATTAGACCCAAAAAAATCCCAAAATTTATTTTTGATCAAAGTGTCTAAAATAAATTCCAGTATTTCAATTTATAACAGTGTCTTAAAGAATGTCCATGATTATAATCTATTTCATTGTTCCCTGTCCCATTTGTAAAATAATTTACACTTCAATCAAAATAAGTATATTCAGGAGTTTGTTGGACTGAAAAGAGAAGAAAAACATATTACACTTCATTATTTTATTAATTCTGTATTTCAATTTCACATTCTTTATCCATTGCAGATTTTGTGAACAAGTTTGTGAACCAACACAGGTATTTCACATTCCAAGTTCATCACCTCAGTCAACTCAGCTTTATCAACAGGTCCCACCACAACCTCAGCTGCCTCAGCTGCCTCAGCCACACTTCATCCACTTCATGCTCTGATGAGAGAAAAACTGCAGTTAGAGGTGGAATGTCTTCAGTTAAAGAAGCGCTAACTCAAGCAGAAACTTAATATGGAAGAGTGATTCACAATTGGCTTTGATTAAAATTTGAAACTGAACAGATTGTATGTTTTCATTTTAAATGAACTTATTTGTTGCTCAATTTATAAGCAAGATTTAAGAATGTCATGCAGTCTGTGAATTTAGGATTTAGGATCAGCATATTCATGCCTACAAATTCCTTCAAATGATCTTGTAATTTCATCTCAGTGGAAATTTACAAGGATTGTATATTTGAAATTTAATCATTTGGTCATGTCTGGAGAAAAAGGGGGACGATATCCTGGAAAACAGCCCTTTTTGCATATCGTCATGATATATTGCAGTAATGAAACTTTTTGCATATGTTTGATTAATAGGAAGAAAGATACTAATAAAAAAGACATTTTTGAAATACTCACAAGGAAAGTTTGTAATTGCGAACTGTTCCCGGTATCGAACTCCCATGATACCCTGTGCAGGCAGAACTAGTTGTCCATTTTGTGGGGGAGGGTTGACCCTGTGGTTGCCATCAAGATATGGAAGAGGAATATCCCTGGTTTTGCAAATATTATGCAATACAGCACATGCAGTGATGACCTAAACGGAAACCCAGTTTTATAAAGTTATATATCATATGAATTTCTTGCTCATAAAATTTTCAGATCTTAAATTCACAATTTATGATGTTATCATTCTTATTACAAATCACATTTACAACATTTTGTGGCATAACACATTTTCACATAAAAACATATATATATATACCTTTCAGATAATACATAACATGTTCTTGATTGAATAAAAACTATTGACACAAACAGATCCATGGTCATTACTTATATATCATTTAAAAATGATACATTGAATAAAAGCCAATAAGAGAAAAATATGTTATTACTTTGCATGCTCTCTCAGGTGAAAGTCTCATCTCCCCATGAAGGACACTGAACCTTCTTTTCAGCTGACCAAATCCTCTCTCCACTGAACTTCTTGTTCTCTTATGTGATCTGGAAAGAGATATGTGTTGACAACTTTATAATTAACCAGATTAATCAGAGACAAAAATCATAATAATAACATATTATTTCAAATCAATATAATTCATTCTATTTTATCTAAGTCATATGATTAATTTTAAACTGTTTTAAAGTGAAAATGACTACTCAGTCTTGTTATTATTACATCTAAGCATCTACATTTTCCACCACAATCTTATTTTAGACAAACCCCATTTCAGCTTTGTACGTTAACCCTAAAAAGGGTGATAACTCTAATGAGATAAGCTTTGGCTGAATTTCGGTGTTTACTGTTACTGTTACCTGTTGTAATTTGTCTTGTGACCGGGTTGTGGTCTGAGGTAGGGTGTCAGGAGCCACCTCTTTGAGGGGTATCCGCTGTCTCCGAGGAGATGAGCGCCGGCTGGCAGATTATTCCCCTCCATTAAGCGGTGCAGTCCGCTTTCTGTCAATATCCGGCTGTCATGCGTTGAACCGGGCCACCGTGCAACTATGTCAGTTATTTTATCATCAGCATCAAAGACAGCCTGTTGAAAATAAAATGTTCTAAGGTAAGGATACTTGTGAATATTACCAACATGACAGCTTGACAAACTATTACATAAAGTAATGAAGATAGCTGTTTTAATTGAAGCAATTTGATAAACTCATAAGAATTGACGTGTGATTAGAATGATTATGTTTACATGAAGTTTTAATCGATTGCATGCGATGGTTGCGTAGCGATCGGCAAAGCAGTCGGTTGGGGTGCACCGAAGTGTCCGGCCTAGTCATGATGTATTGTACTGTGGAGCATTTCGAGTCGGGGGTCATCTCAAAAAATTTTAATCATTAATCCTCGCAATGACAAGAGGGCCTGTGCTTGTGAGGTGCATTCGAGCATGCGCTTTCTAAGATATCAAAGAGCATGTGCGACCCTTACTCAAACGTTCTCAGTAACACTCACGTTGTTGTAAACGTTTTATGATAGACGCGTTGAAGGCGTCTCCAAATTTTCAGCATCAGTGATAATAAAACTTCAGGGGCATTTCCCTAAGTTTTATTGGTAAAAGGTTGCCTTGTATTTGAATGTATTTGTCACGGGGGAAAGAGTTCCTTACGTGCCCCCACCTTATGTTTAACTGTAAACTATAGACTAAACTATAGTGTTTGCTCATCACAAAAATAGTACGTAAAGAACTCTTTCCAATTTTGCGATGTTTCTTCACACTCTCCATGAGGCGGTATAATGTGTTCCTTGTAAAGTGGGGACGGTGTTGTAGTCGAGTGGTTAAAGTGTTCGCTCGTCACGCCGAAGGCCCGGGTCGATTCCCTACATGGGCACAATGTGTGAAGCCCATTTCTGTTGTCCTCCGCCGTGATATTGCTGGAATATTGATAAAAGCCGCGTAAAACCATACTCACTCCTTGTAAAATGGGCTCATATATAACTTCCCCCCCACTAGAGCCAGATTGATGCATGTCGTCGCATCCCACACGATTATGTAGATCATGTTCAACAACAAATGATCACTACTCCTACAACCTTGAAATAATTACACGGCCAAAGTAATGCCGAAGCAATATCTCAAGACAAGCATTCAAACTCCTCTTCTCGATATTTCTCTTTGAAAGAAAGGCAATTATTTTACACTGAGTGAACAGATTCCACGTGAGCGCAATAAATTTTCAAAGAAATTTAAATCGTCCATGTATCATATTGAGGGAGAGTTCGCAAGTTTGCAAGAAAGTAACACACCATTACTCACGATCGTACTTTTGCATTTTTTAAATTCACCTGAAGAAAGATATTAATGTGGTCCACATAATTATTCATGAAGTCACGGAAAAAACGACTGACATAGCTCCATTTTACATATCCTTCATGTGTTCCCATTGTCGGGTTTGTTTAAATATTCATGGAGGTGAACCTTGTTTATTAGGAATAATCAAGACAAATAGTTGGGAAGAATCCATGTGTCTGTTTTATTCATCTTAAACCTTTCAGAGTAGTTGTAAATGATGTAACGATCCAGTTGTATTAGACGTTCTATCTGGCTACCCTCTCTGCTGTTTTTAGGGAATCCGTGGCGGAATGGTGAGTAAGTATCGTCTTACGCCGCTTCTTGCAATATCAAGGATGGGGGTACCAGAAATCGGCTTCACATACTGTACCCATATAGGGAATTGAACTCGGGTTTTTGGCGTGACGAGCGAATGTTCTAACCACTACGCTACCCCTCCCTGTTCCTTCCACGGTCTAACAGTTTTCCTGAATCCCATGCCTGTCGTAAGATCAGACTGTCCCCGGATCCGGAAACCGGGTTGATTGACTGTCATCGTGGCGCCATGACATGGATCGGTTGTGGTGCTTTCAGCAGCTGAGTTGGTGTATCGGATCCGGATATTGCATTACCTTCATGTATATTGACGAGTGCGGGGATAAACAACATTCACTCACCATCTTTGACTTATAATAAACCTTTTGCTTAGGAAACGAGAGAACACTGTTATGAAAAAAAGAAAATATAAATCCTTGAAAATCCGCGTTCGGAAAACAATATAGATTTAGTCCTTCGGTTGACATTGTTTGAGACTTGCCGTGGGTTTAGATTTTCCCAGCAACGTAGTTTTACGAGGTGAATCAATTGATTGATCCAGTGGTGAGACTCGATAACTTGGACGCGATTATTTACAGACCACCGCCATATAGCCCGAGTATTGCTGAGTGCGGCGTATAACAACAAACAAAAGCCAGCTGAGGATTCAGTGTTAAACTTCGAATGAAGCACTTTGCGGAAGTCAACTTTGTTGATTACCGATCGTATGTACCATGATCTATAATCAGCGTTCGAAATACCTGTCTGTCCGACCGCTCGGGACGGGTTATTTTCAACACGGACTGCCAGATTCTCCAATTCACCTGCCCGACGGTGGGGGTAGGGGGTTAAATTTTAGACATATATATGAAGATATTTTGTGGGCAGGTAAGTTTTGGTCAGGGCTGGCAAGTTTTACTTCTAACCAGCCTGTGAGTGCGGCGTAAAACTAAACTCACTCACTCACTCACTCTAACCAACCTTTGGTCTGGCTGAAATTTTTGAGAGTTTCATAGCCTGCTATAACTTAATGTTATAAGCTTAAATTCACAGTACAGAGAGCGTGTGAGTGATATAGGTTTTCACAGTTTAGAATATATCGCTCATATGACGACGTGCATGCGTGTGTATGTGTGGCTGCTTGTTCTAGCCAAGACTGAAGCTGGTTTTATAGTGTTAGCCCACTGAGACACCATGCCACAGTTAAGCATGAATACCCCCCTCCGACACATTATACTGACTCCGAGCCGACCAGTCCTTCTTGTACCCATTAATGCCGAACGCCAGGAAGAGACCAACAAGTACCATATTTTAACGTCTTTTGGTATGACGCGCCCGGGGATCGAACCCGCGGTCTTCCGCTCTCCGGGCGGACGCTCTAACCACTACACCACGGAGGCGGCCTTGGCGACCAGAGTTTAAGGGTAATACAATGGAAAATTATTCCTTTGATACACAAGGATGGGTCACTGTAGGCCCACACCGTACTGATCCTTGAGCCAGGTCCTACTGACCTAACTTAAACACTAAGCAAATAAATCAATTGAATATTCAATTAACTATCGATTGAATGCAAATGACTAGTTACACGCTACCACAACCTGGGTGTAATTCAACCCTAAATGATTGTCGTCGCCCAGTGAGCGCACCTAGGTGTCAATACGTTTGAAGCTAACAATTGATGGAAGCTTCCAAGATGAGTTTTGTTGACATTGGTTCTTTTCCAGCCTTCGATCGAAGGAACCGCACAGACTCTGGGACACCTCTGCTTATCATTGGTACACACGTACTGCACGGAATGTGGAAGGGTTGGTTGTTCATTGGAGCGGTTTACGGTCATGTTGTACCGTTACTTACACTACTTCTCAAAACAAACTTCCCCTATGATCACAACCCAGGATTGAAATGTTCGCAATCGAAGGGTTGTTTGGTTAGAACAGCACGTGCATATTTGAGAAAGCCATTTTAAACATAATCAGTCATACAGACCCTTAAACAAATATATAAATACAGCCCCAAAACGTCTAGAATATATGGCAAGTCTGGATTACCACAGTATAATTAAAATGAAAATAAAATATGGCCCCGATTTCTCGAAACAAACTTAAGTCTGAGTTTTGATTTAAGTCAGAGTTTTTACTCAAATTTGAGAAAACACAGGAAAATGCATTTCCCAGAATAAACTGAAATCAATATTAAACTCAAACTTAGTAGACAATTTGAGTTTGGTGGATAGATTACTTAAGTTGTTTGGGATTTTTTAATTGAAAAAATGCAGTCTTGTTAAAAATTCAGTGTTTCAAATTGTCAAACTCAGTTTGAAATTTGAGTAAAAACTTAATTTTGTTTCGAGAAATCGGGGCCAGGTCTCCTTTTATTATATTTTATGAATAGTCTAGGGTGAACCATGAACGTAACGATAAACGCGAAGTGTCTAGGTTCTAACACGTTTAAGTTTTACTTTTCGGGTATTCAAACTGTGTTTTACAAGTTAAGTTAAACGCTACATCGAGAACGATATGAGAATTGTTCGTATATTGGGGGCGGTGGGGTAGCCTAATGGTTAAAGCGTTGGCTCGTCACGCCGAAGACTCGGGTTCGAATCCCCACATTGGTACAATGTGTGAAGCCCATTTCTGTTGTCCTCCGCCGTGATATTGCTGGAATATTGATAAAAGCCGTGTAAAACCATACTCACTCCTTGTAAAATGGGCTCAGATATAACTTCCCCCCCACTAGAGCCAGATTGATGCATGTCGTCGCATCCCACACGATTATGTAGATCATGTTCAACAATAAATGACCACTACTCCTACAACCTTGAAATAATTACACGGCCAAAGTAATGCCGAAGCAATATCTCAAGACAAGCGTTCAAACTCCTCTTCTCGATATTTCTCTTTGAAAGAAAGGCAATTATTTTACACTGAGTGAACAGATTCCACGTGAGCGCAATAAATTTTCAAAGAAATTTAAATCGTCCATGTATCATATTGAGTTCGCAAGTTTGCAAGAAAGTAACACACCATTACTCACGATCGTACTTTTGCATTTTTTAAATTCACCTGAAGAAAGATATTAATGTGGTCCACATAATTATTCATGAAGTCACGGAAAAAACGACTGACATATTACATGCTCCATTTTACATATCCTTCATGTGTTCCCATTGTCGGGTTTGTTTAAATATTCATGGAGGTGAACCTTGTTTATTAGGAATAATCAAGACAAATAGTTGGGAAGAATCCATGTGTCTGTTTTATTCATCTTAAACCTTTCAGAGTAGTTGTAAATGATGTAACGATCCAGTTGTATTAGACGTTCTATCTGGCTACCCTCTCTGCTGTTTTTAGGGAATCCGTGGCGGAATGGTGAGTGAGTATCGTCTTACGCCGCTTCTTGCAATATCAAGGATGGGGGTACCAGAAATCGGCTTCACATACTGTACCCATATAGGGAATTGAACTCGGATTTTTGGCGTGAC